GAAATAGAAGACAAAAAATTCTAGCCTGGCTTTAATACTGCATCGTAAAATATGCGGTTTCTAACTTTAGACAAATAAAACCTAAATTAACTGTGTTTAGTTTGTAGGGTCTGTTTTAGGACCTACAGGCCATCCTGGTCAGGACGTTTCTCTGCGGTCTCCGCCTCCTTCCTCTCGGCGCTGCCCCGCTGCTCTCTCCCGCCTCCTGGGACTCGGTCACTGGGTTGTTCACCATCAGCTTTCTCAGCCTCTCCATGCGCTCCGGGTCCGCCCGGCCCTTCGTGGCTTTCCGCAGCCTCTTCTCCACATTCTCCGGCTTTGCTCGGCCAGGGCCGCCTCTCAGGAAGCTCTCGTACTCCGCCACGTTGTTAAAGCATTTAATGTTGGGGAAGGGAAGCGGCGGCGCCGTGGGGGAGTAGAGAGCCAGCAGCGGGTCGAACCTCTCAGAGCAGACATTTAATTCATCACCCTCCGGTACCGGCTCCGGTTCTGTTTTTTTGCTCTCAGGCTCCGGTTCTGTTTGTTTTCTATCGGGCTTCGCGGAGTTTCTTTCCTTTTCCTCCATGTTTCAAACGAGCCGCAGAAGCGATGAACGACATGACGCAAGGAATTCTGGGAATGTTGCTGTTTATCTGAGTTTAGTTTATTTTCTTAACATGTCCAGAGGTCAATTACTGCACCGTAAACGCAATAATATTTTATTCATAATAATAAATGATTTATTTTAGCTAGTAGCCTGGTTTTATCTCCCAAGAGTAAAGAGAAGAAACCATTTTTTAAAACTGGACTACTAATCCCACAGCTCCTCTATATAACTACGTCACTACCGGTGGGAGGGATTTATTTTTGCCTGGATATTTTTTGCCTTTATGTTTAAAAATTGAACATGCACGAACTTGTATTTCCATAATGATATAAATATTGTAACCAAACCGTGTATTATTCCTGTGAAATTTTTAACCAACAATAAAATGATAAGAAACATTTTTTTTCCAATTGTTTATAATAAAATAATGTAAAAAAAAAACGTAGAATAGTTCATTTTTTATTTTCTTAATGCTATATTAACAGGAACAGATAACAATCCTTTCTATTTCATCCTTATGAATGATATCTAGGGCTGCAATTAATCATTATTTTGCTGACTGATGAATCTTTAAATTAATAATTGGATAATAAAAAGTTCCTTGAAGAGGAAAAGCTAAAACTTTTTCACTTGAGGAGTTCTGGATAGACTATTGTTCGTTTATTTTGTTTTGTTTTTTTGTCTTAAATGCAAAATGTTTATTATTTTTATTTATTTTTACAATGTTGGTTTAATTACTGCTCTAAGTGCTCTGTCAACTAAAGGCATGTTTTAGAGAATCCAGTTAACTATTAATCGATTAATAAATTAGTTGCCAATCATTTCAATAATCAATTAATCACAATTTATCTGTTTAATTGTTTAAGCCCTAATGCTATTATTAACTTACCCGATATGCTGAATAC